CAAAGACCAACCACCTGTTCTCTATCCATATTAAGGAAGAGAAACTGTTTTCTAAGTGGACACATTCCTGCCCTCACTGAGTTTGACACTTCACTATTATGCAGAGCTGTATCCTCTCAGACTTATCCATCCTCCAGGCCTACCTTTTGCCCAGAGGCCTATTGGAGCATATGCAATGATGCCAATTATCCTGCCTGTGAAAGCACACAGCCCCCTAGCTCTGAATGGCTCCACTCTGGTCACACTAAAATCTAGACCCCAGTAACAATCTGTTTTCTAGTCAGGACATCTTCATTCCTTTATCTATAAGAGGAAGGGCGGCAGTGTGAGGGTTAATTTACATTCCTGGGAAGTCCTGCCTGGGGGTGTATTGGGGGTTAGGTAGGGTTTGAGGATTTAGAAATGATAGTATGGTGGCTTTTGGCTTTTGGCTTCTTTTGGCTTCCCCACCCGCTCCCCCCCAGGGCATTTTCCTGGCCCCTCTCTTTCTCCTCAGCTCCAAGAGCCCTTCTTTTGCCTCTCTAACTTGTTTCCTGAGTCCATTTCTCCTATGGCTCACTTCTACCTCTTAATAAACCTTTAGAAAGTCATTCCTGTTGACTTTCTAAATAAACTTTCTCTTATAGTTTGAGTCTTGGTTCTGAATTCTTTCTTAGCCAGAACTCAAGCCCCGAGGTTGCTGAATTGAGATCCAATCATGGGTGACAATCTGGTGCCGTTTCACAGCCAACAGATCCAAGAACTTTTTACCTGCTGGGCTTATTCCCAACATGGGAGTCATGGAACAGTTTGAGAAAGATAGTTACTGGGGCTCAGGAATACGTGTGTGTGTGTGTGTGTGTGTGTGTGTGTGTGTGTGTGTGCAGAAAGCAAATGAAGGATTTCTCAGTTTTTAAGACCTTCATACTTTTGGAATCATAAATGAAATACAAACTTATTCTGAGCACCTTCTATGCACAAGGCATTGTTAAGACCCTCTATTTTCATGTCACCCTTCTGTGATTCCTTGTGTATCACGGCATGCCCCTATTCAACCCAAGCTGATATTAATCTCTCCTTTCTTTGTGTTGCCCAAACATTTATTAACACACTTACTTTAACACATTTAGCTTTATATTAGAGGTCTTTAGAATTCAAGTCTTGTTTCCTCTGCACTATTTAACACTAAATCTTTCCTTAATTCCAATAATCATCAGGTCTTTGAATTGATATTTTATCAGGAACAATGACTCTCTCTCTCTCTCTCTCTCTCTCTCTCTCTCTCTCTCTCTCATACACACACACACACAGAAATGATGGTAAGTCATGTTTATTTTAAGTTATATTATCCACATTCATAATTTCATTAGCTTTGATTCTAATACTTTTTAGCCTTCATCTTTCTTGACTAAATATGATTTTTAAAACAGTTTTTTTTAATTAAAGGTAGCACTCCACCTCCACTTCCTCCTCACCCTCCCTCCTGCAGCTCCACCATTTCAGTTGTGCTTATCTATACCTGTTCCCTGTGCCCACCTGCAGGCTGAGGCCAGGTGCCAAGATGCCACTATTCTGGGCCATTGCTGGAGGTAATTGTTTCCAAATGTTTACTATCTTCGGCTTTGTGCCACTTTATCTCTCTCAGGCTTGAAGGGTTGACCCCTAATTTAAATATCTTAAGTATTTGAAATTCACTACATACGCATCCTAACTGAAATTCTGTCTTAAGTTTTAAAATTTACATCCCCTCACCTGAAACCAATAGAGTTTTATTAACCAATGTAACCTAAATGAATTCAATACAAAGAAACAAAACAAGTATAAGTTATATCCCCTTTTAAGCCTCTGACTGCATTTTGAAGGCACTTTATCAATCTTGCCCATGGTAAACAATTAATATTTTGTTTTATCAATCTCTAGTGGCTCTGAATAATAAAATCATTTGAACTTCCATAATAATCTTATTAAACACATCCTTGGTATGAGTAACTGGCTACAGATATACATTTGATTTTTTAAGTCAAAAGATCAAATTCCTTCAAGTATAATGGATGGAAACTTTACTGAAGCTATTGGACGTTCAGACTGTAGCATCAGACAATCTAAATTGGAGAATTCTAACCCCGATTTATAAGTTGTGTGACCTTGGGCAAGTTATTTTATCTCTCCAAACGTCAGTTTCATTATCAATAAAAATGAGGAGATAAAAAGTAGTATCTCTTTCCTGTGGTTGTTTGAGCATTAACTGAGATAAGGCCCATTGCACTGGCCCACAGAAAGAGCTTAGTCCATGTAACCTATCATTATGCAGTGAGGTCCTACACTTAAACAATTCAGACATTGATTATTTCAGTGTTTTTCTGGTGTAGACAGAGGACCATGTGTATCAGAATCAACACAGGTACATTTAAAAATGCAAATGCCTGGGCCCCAACACAGACTCACTAAATCATGCTTTCTTACTCTAAGGCACAGGCATCTGTGTTTTATAGAACTTCCCGGAAATACGTTGATGAGAGGCACTCTGGACTGTCCCAGGGCTGCAGGCAGATGTTTTACCTGCCGCCATCTGGGTCCCAGGGTGCTCTGTGTGAGCTGTGTGATTGGGAGACTGGGCAGGCAGCGTCATACACTTGATCGTGTGCCAGGTGACCTGCGAGTCCAAATTTAAGAAGGATCTTAAAGAGCAATTTAAGGTGGAGAGGTAATTAGTGTTGATTCATAGTAGCTATATGAGTCCTTGTCTCACATTGGATTTAGGCAAACAGACGTGAAGAAAAAAACATGAACCAGGGAGGTAGACATGCTGTTTGTGAGAGCTGCAAGGTTAACTGACTTAGAAGGCAGAGGATACAAGTGGGGAATCAAAAAGAAAAAGAATGATATCCAAGAAAGGGATTTTTTTTTTTTTTGGTGCGAACTGCTGCACATCTTTTGGTTCTCTGCTTTTTGTCCCTTGGGGCACAGTGCGGGTGTGTAGGGGGCTTGGTCTGTGTGAACAGATATTTGTTGACAACAGGCCAGTTTCAATTCAGTTTGAAGCTATTAAATTGTTAGTTTTGTTGGCATCTCAGAAAGGCAGTAATTGTTCTGTTTCCCTGGCACATTTACCCCACGAGGCAGGCTGCAACTTGTGCGGTTTGGCCAAGCCTTAGTGGTGTCTCGCGGGAGAGGGCCATGAGAGAGTGTCATTTTGAAAGCATATCTGCCTCTAGTACAAAGAGGCCCACGGAGGTGGCAGTTGCTCAGCTCCTTCCCCTGAGTCCCCAAAGAGGCGGCCTCCGAAAGCTCTTGCACAGGCGTCTTTGGATCCTGCGGACAGGCCAGCCCTTCTGGGGAGCTTTGACTGGTTGTGATGGGCTGCACTTCTCTGTGTGAGGTAGTTGGGGTTTAATGGGGGATGATTCCACAGGTTCCTGAACAGTCTTTCACAAATGGTGGAGCAAACTTTTCACCATCACCAGAGAGTGAGGGAGAGTGAGTAAGAAGCATGTGCTGGTTTGTTTGTTTTATTAATGCTCACCTGAGGATATTTTTTTCCATTGCTTTTCAGAGACAGTGGAAGGGAGAGACGGAGGGCAGGAGAGAGAGAGAGAGAGAGAGAGAGAGAGAGAGAGAGAGAGAGAAATATCAGTGTGAGAAAAACACATTGATGTGTTGGCTCCAGCATGCCCCAACCAGGTATGTGCCCTTGACCAGGACCGTTGATCCTCTAGTGCATGGGCCGATGCTCTGACCACTGAGACACACTAGCCAGGGTGAGGCATGTCTTTAATGTCCTTCAGACCCAAGTTCAGGTGCTTATTGGCTGGGTGACCTTGGGCAGGTGACTTAACCTCTCTGAGCCTCATTTTGCTACCAGTGCTATGAAGATTAAATGAGATATGTGAAAAAGCCCTTATGCCATTCTGGCCCACAGGAAAGGCTCAGGAAATGGCAGCGGTGGCCTGTGCCAGGGGTACCACCATTGCTATCACTGTGCTAAACCTGAGGACACGGAAAACACTTCCCAGACTTCAATGCAGGGAGGATTTAATCTAGCGCCAACAGGATTTGACAATGGGGTCTAGCATAGGCAGGTTAAGTAACTCTCTTCACCTTGAAAGACGGTTGGGCTTGTTCAAATAGATTATTCAGAGGAAGTGAATTCTGGAATACAGTTGTAAACAACATGGCCAACCCTACAAGTCAATCTCTAAAGATGAGTGATACGTATTTAAGGACGTAAAGCAGAAATTCAGAAATGTAAGGGAACAACAAATTCTAAACTTTGTGATTCATCAACTGCACGGCAGCCCTCAGGAGAAAGAAGATCAAATATTTGCCCAGGCCCTAGCTGGTTTGGCTCAGTGGATAGAGCATCAGCCTGCAGACTAAAGGGTCCCGGGTTTGATTCAGTCAAGGGCACATACCAGGGTTGAGGGCTCGATCCCCAGTCGGGGGCGTGCAAGAGGCAGCCAATCAATGATTCTCTCTCATCATTGATGTTTCCATCTCTCTCTCCCTCTCCCTTCCTCTCTCAAATCAATAAAAATATATTTTTTTAAAAAAGAATTTATTTAAAAAAATATTTGCCCAGAAAGTTTACAAAACAATACTTTGGAAATAAAAAGGATTATCTTCAGGTTAACTTTGCTGTAGGGAAGATGTGCTTTTTGGTCATATTAATATTTCATTGCCTAATGTTACATACAAAAAAGCGAATGATTCATAAATGTCTTCCTCTGATGTTGCTCCAAGATGTACATATGCCCTCAATTAAAGGGAAGGGGGATTTTCACTTTTCGACCATCACAGATGTGTCTATTCCTCGTCCCCATGGGTGAAACCAAGGCACCTCACCACATTAAAATCATTTTAAATTCACGAGTAAGATTAGACTACTGAAGAGTAATTAGTGATTTCCAGAAGTAAATGATATTATTCAAACCAATGGAAACTATTACTCAAATATTTAAAAAATAAGCCAACATTTAATAATACAAAATTATTTATTAGTAAAAAAAAAATTAGAACTTGCTCATTATACAGAAAAGCAAAACCATTAAATGTTCCCTACAAAACTTTTCCCTGGAAGCATACAGAGTAGGAGTAGTGCCATGACCGGGTCTGAGGACTTCATCTCAATGCCCAAGTCAGCGCCAGAAAATGCAAAATGGTGACCTGTAACCTGCAGCTGTGATGTTTTGTGAACAGGTTGCCTAGGTCAGGTTCTCATTTGGCGCGGCAGAAAGACAGACGTATGCACGCCATGCTCCAGGTTACTGAAACTCTATGAGCTGTAGCAGACGTCACAGTTTGCTTCCCGGAGGTAGAAATCACTGCCTGCTGCTGCTGAGGGATCCAGGTTCGCAGAGTCCGTGCCCGGAGAGGAAAAGTAGTCGGATGCTCTGAGGGTGGCCAAGTGTTCTGCCTCGCAGGACACACAGTAGCAGCCTGAGGTCGGGGCTGGGAACAAGCAGTCGTATTGGGCGTGGGAGGGCAAGTGAGGGTAGGAGTAGTCTTCTGAGGGATAGCCACAGTTTCTGTTGTCCAGAGAAGGGGTAGGATTGTAATTCTCCGGAGTATAGGAAGGTAGATGAGCCGGCGAGTAACTGAAGTCTAAGGAGCCAGAGAGAGTGGAGGAATCTGAAGGTGTCCCTGGGGTCTGGGGAAATAAAAACCAAGGAACAAAGAGCTTGAGAACTTAGACAGGATTAAAAGGACTGAAAAGAGTGGATTTAATAACTCCGAGTAAGCACATTAGGGGTAAAGAAACAAAAACACCCAACCCAACCCAAGTCTGCAGAAGTAATTTTATTTGCTGATTGCGTGATTTCATGACACCACATTCTGTATTTACCTACTTCTTTCCCAACAATAAATTGCCTTGCTTCACTGGCTTCCTTTGTTGTAACCATACTTTAGAGGATGCTTTGTCCTTAAACCACATAATCCCATTGTGCTTCAAGTCACCTGCTCACCAGCCCCCGCTGTGGGCCACAATATAAGCTCTGGGCACAATGTAAGTTGCAGGTGGCACCGTGGACGGTTCTCCACGCCCTTGGCTGTGAACACACTCGGGTAGAACTGGGGCCTTCAATGATCCAGTGTCTGGGAGACTCCAAGACGTGCAGCTACTCTTGTATTCAGTAAAGTTGTGTCCCTTGATGAGAAAGGTACTTTTCTCTTAAGCAGGTCTACAGTTGTTACTGAGGGAACCTAACTTGGAAGCTGGGCAGGAGCTGGGTGACTGGGGGCCCTGTACGCATATTCTGTGGAGTTAATTTCCCATCCCCTTAAAATTGAGTCTGATACCTACACAGACATTTGACAAACTGAAATAAAAAATGATTTCCACCAAAACATGTACTGTTACGGTTTAAAAAAAATCTATGAGTGTCTACGCAACTTCTAAAACGACTGGTACCCTACTAAAGCAAGCCTTATGCATTTTAAATAACCTATTTTTAAACGTTGGAGGTTCATCCGGAATGGACCATCCAGATTTTTCAAGTATTAGAGCTTCATTTTTCCTAACCATCTCAAACTCAAATGGCTCTTGTGCCTAAACCAGACCAAAAGAACGAGTTAATAGAGTCAATTCAATGTCAAAATTAAAACAAAACGCACTTATCAAAATGACAATTTGGTACTGCATAGATGTGGCCTTGATTCCATTTTCAAGAATCCCTGAATTCAAGGGCCGTTTTTTAAATCAATGATTTCCAATTAGGAGATGTCTTAATTTTCAAGTTTAGAAACATCGCATGTATATTGCCCCACAGTAGCTTGGGAAATGTGTGGTTATTTCTACTTCCAATGAATTGTGAGTGGTTCTTTGCTTGCTTCCTGGATGATTTCCTTGTTGACAGTGTTTGTATGCTTTCTCAGGAGACAATGCAAACATAACCTATATGATGAGCAATAAACAGGTTTTGTTAAGAACTGCGCTAATTACCAGGCTCTGGTTGAAGCCGAAGGGGGCGGCCTGGAAGCTGTCCGGGAAGTAGTGTGGAGCATTCTGCGTGGAATTGAGCAAAGGGTCCAGGTGTGTCTCTGTCTGAAGGTAGGAATCCAAGATCTGGTCGAGGCAGCTTGGGTTTTCTTCACAAGAAACACGGCTGGGAAATTCTCGGGGTTGAAAGTAATTAGGGGTGGAAGAAACGGATTCAGGTTCAAAATACGCTAGAAGAGAAAGGAAAAAGATTTTTTTCTGTTTAAAATTTGCAGTTACGCATTTGAATGAAGTTCTATGCTACATTCTGAATATCTGCTATCCCTAAGGGGAAAGGGGGCTTATGAACTTCCAGAAAGGTAAACGGTCAGGCGATTTGGATTTTTTAGTTGCCTTAGCTAATTCAAGTTTCACTGGAATGCATCTGGTTAATAATATGAACACTGGCTGTGAATGTGGCTAGGGCTAAAAAAAAGGATGCGGATCCAACCTGGGTTTAACTGCTTCAGAGAATAATGGCTCATGCCTGCACTTTCTTGGACCATGAAAGCATCCACATTCAGCCCCTACCTGCAGTTCATGTCAAGCACTCGTCTCTGAAGCAGCCAGAGTTGTTAGGAAAACTGCTGGTGTCGTGGGAAATAATTCTCTTGATTTAGGGTTAATACATTCCTACACTTTTCACACTTACTAAGTTACTTAAATTCTGAGCAAGTTTTAAAATAGAAACCAGAACATACAGGACAAATTAGTATTACTTGCTCTAAATTACACAAAGCAAAAATATTTTCTTAGTGTTAACCTGATAATGGAATTAAAATAAGTTGTTAAATACCAAACAAGAATAATTCTGAAACCGTGACTCCTTTTCCATTTTAGGATTAACAGGCCCGATTTGTGGTTATTAATCTAAAAAAACTCTCAAAGAAGAGAGGTTTAGAGTGTGTCCATCAATGGGATTCTTTGAAGTCTTAAGGTTCCTCTGAGGTTAAGTGAAAGTGGCAAATTCAGTGGTGAGCTACCATAAGCAGGTTTCCTTGTCTATGAACTCTTTAAACTCTTAGCTGTTGAGTGGCATAGGTAGGAGTGTTTATATAGTAGAGTTATTCGCATTGGGCTGAGAAAGCTTTCAGCTGTTTGAATTGCTTTCTGGGAAGACAGAAGGGGAGGGACCCCCTGTCGGCTAGATTCTAGGACCTCAGAGTGTTCTGTAGTCCATCTAACGGCAGGAGACAAAAGACAAGTTTCTAAAAACAATTCTGATCTTTTCATCTAATTTAGTTACTTGGAGATGGGGAACTGGAATGAATGAGAAGAACAGACTCAGGATAGAGTAGATAGGAAAGAAGAGACAGTTCAGAAAGAAGAAAACATTTGCACTTGTTTGCTTGCGGGGCTTCCATCTGGAGTCACTACGCCTTTTTCACCTTCTGATTGGTTGGATTGCAATTAAATGGTGGTGCCTATCTTAACCCCTGAATCAAGCATTGAAAGACCTTCGAGATGCACTTTTGAAAGAGTGTTGGAGGGAACTATAATGCTGCTGTACTGACCTGCAGAAGGTGGTGTGACTGGATCTGGAAGGTGGACACTGTTCCCTCCGGACAGCTGCCAAAGCAAGAATACAACCATCAAGAAAAGCGAAATGAGAGCCCCACACAGGGAAAGCTAAGACATTTTGATGTGAACTGTGTTGCCTTCTGTTCTAAGGTAAGCTAGATTCTTTCTTCTAAAAAAAGTTACAAGACAACTGATCCAATATGTATTTTTTAGTTTTAATTTTTAGGTTTGCTTGGGGATTTTTTTCTAATATCAGATTCTCCCACTTAAAATGTAAAGGCTATTTATTCATTTTGATAAAAATTCAATTTATATGATTTTGATATACAAGAAATGTAACAATTCAAGAAAACCCAGAAAAGAGACTTTCAATTAAACCATTCAATATAAAATTAATTTAATCCCAACTTTTATGATTTAGTCAATCATTTCCTTCAAAACTTTCATATAATATCTGGCTACTTAGCCTTAGGGATTTGTTTTCCCTAAAGGACACAACTCCTAATTTTGTTAATCCTGGATAGTTCAAAATATTCGCATGATCTTACCAACTATGAAATACTAAAAGTTATATAAAATATATATTTTTCTTAAAGCTGTAGTCATTGAGTTGGATCCTATCTATATTCTAGTTAATGGTCAAGAAATATTTCAACTCTGTATGTTTTTCACTCATTTTTATAAAAGTAGCTTTTTTCACTATTATAAATACTTGAAGTTTATGAGACTGTTCCTTTTAATCATTGAAAGTAAAGCAGCCTGTATCCTCCAGTTGAATTGGTAGTTTTACTAACCGAGTAATTTAGGATTTGTTATTATTATTTCTTTAGGTTTCAGGTGCTGGCTTTAAGGTTTAAAGGGACCAGCTTTGCTCTGTGATTCACCGCACCTCTCTCTCGGGTTCCAGGGCGTGCTCACTCCCACACACAGAGCCACTGGGAGAGCGCCGCCAGCCACGGCTGAAACAGGAGGTGGTGTTAATTTTGAAAGCGATCCATGCTGTAATGTCATGAACCAGGAAGCTGGAATCCTTCACCAGCTTTTCATGCAAATATTTGGCTGCAGCTTGAGCTAAAGGACTTGAAAGGAGTGGGTTTAAAAACTGCTTCATTGTAGGGCTCTCATTAACCCCATTCCTACCCCCCTTTGCCCCATGGTCTGTTTGTCTGCCTCCCCACCTTATCTCCCTCAGGTATGTTTACAATATCCTACTTGATATTATCTTTCTAGTCATGGGTTCACTTTCTACTTTGCTCCAAGAGTACAAAGAAAGGCACCCTTCTCTTAGATTTCAAACAGCGCAAAAATCCACAATCTAAAATTTGAAAAACACATCAAGGCTGTTAAGAAATTAATGGTCAAAAAGGGGTAAATTATATATTTCGATAAGTACTAGCTCAAGTTCCCCTTTATCCTAAAGGTAAAAGAAGTGTGTGTATGTGCGTGCATGCGTGTGTGTGTGTGCGTGTGTGCGTGCATGTGTGTGTGCGTGTGTGTGTGTGCGCGTGCTCCCTGGGCTGTTTGCAAATTGATCTGGCCTGGCCGAAATCAGTTTTTTGAAAAGTCAAATTTACACATACTGCACCCACACGTTTCTCCTGGCACTGTTTGAGACCCTGATATTCATCTCAGTCTATAACTTCCATTCACAATTGCCTTCTTGAAATTCCAAATTGTGGATACTACTGATTCTATGACAACTGAAGGTACATTTCTTCCTGCCTTGTATATTTTATAAAATTAACTCTCTCCTTGGCTTAAAGCTCCCTAGAGCTATCCTTTAAGCACCGAACAACTTGGAGATCCTCTCTGTGAAGCCAGAAATCTACACCAAGAAGCAGGCACACGTTATCCCCTGGTAGCCGCCCTACTTGCCTCCTGAGCATACCTTCACAGCTTTCCTGGAATCCCAGATCCTTCTGATGGCTCCCACGGAGGGACTGTACGCCTGGCTCTCGTAATTAAATCATCTGTGTGGTGCTATGCTTGCCTACGAGGGCATGGGCGGATATACTATGCAAGCAACTTCTGCAAGGCACTAGTTTGGAAGTACTGCTT